CAAAATGCTACAACAAGACTCCTGACTGGCACCAGGAGTCATGAACACATCACACCAATTTTGGCTCATCTGCATTGGCTTCCGGTCAAGTCCGGTCGCATTGGCTTTTAGAGTCAAGTTCAAGGTACTCACATTTGTCTTCAAGTCACTACAGAGCCGTGCACCATCATACCGCTCTGATTTAAATCAGCCCGTACACTCCACCACGCGCTTTGAGGTAATCACAGCTGGAGTTGTTGGTTGTTCGGTGTGTGCGATGCTCGACCAGAGGTGGCCGGGCTTTCTCGGTCTCGGCCCCCAAATTATGGAATGACCTCTCATTGGAGATCAGACAAGCACCCTCTCTGCCAGTTTTTAAGAGCAGGTTGAAGACCCATTTCTACACCACGGCATTCCACTAGCCTTCTTTTAGTCATTCTTATCTTGTCTTATATTTTTCTGGGTATTCTCTACTTCACATTCTTAGTTTTTAGTACTAAAATCAAGTAGAAATACTTAAAATTTTTAATATGCCACCAGGGGTGGACCTTTAAAGTGCCCGAGCGCCAATGGCGCTAAATTTTCTCGTCGGGCAGTAAATTATTTATTTATTTATTTATTTATTTATTTATTTATTTATTTATTTATTTGTTTATTCTTCTTCAAGGCATTCGAGGAGTACAGACGCTTCTCTCTTTCGCTCCCTTATCTTTTTTACCCAAGGCACTTTGTCCTGTCTGCCCACAGAGCGCTTCTCCCAGAGGAGGTCTTGTTTTGGACATGTATGCATTCTTTACATTTGCATAACACAAATCCACTGTCTTGTTTTCTCTGGTGGTCACTTGTTGCCTTAAACCTATGCAGTACCCGGTCCCACAGCACAGTCATTATTACCGTCTCCAGTTTATCAAGTTTTGAGACCAATGCAGCAGAATTAAAGTTTAGTTTGTGTTTTTTCATCACAGTCTAAAGATGTTTTGGCTAATATATCTCTAATTGACCTGTAATTCACACTGACAGCTTTTGTGGAGTCTGCTCTGCAGTTCTATCGGGTGGTGCCGAGGGATTTAAAAGTGTATTTAATCTTATGTTCGCTGTGATTGAAAACTGTAATCCAGCGATGAAATATGACGCGTGTGACCAAGCCTCAATATATGACGATTCGGGACGCCCCAGCGCGTCAGGAGACGACGATCAGGGACACGCAGGGACACGTGGCTCCGCTGGCATCACTGTTGGACGTGCGCGGTCACACGGACATTTTTTGACTATTTAACCTTCCCCTCACCCCAATCCTAACCTTAAGGTCCATAAACTGTGACCTTAAGGTTAGGATTGGGGTGAGGGGAAGGTTAAGTTGTTCACAAGTAGTTCTAATGTCCGTTTCACTACCGGCGTCGGATACCGACGCTCTGGGACGCTACGTCAGCTGTTTGTCCCTGATCGTCGTCTGCTGACGCGCTGGGGAGTCCCGAATCGTCATATATTGAGGCTTGGTCACACGGGTCATATTTTGACGCCTTGGGTGTGAGAATGTGTTGGATGTGTTGATGCACTGCAAAATCTATACAGAGACTGCAGCAGTTCAAAAGAAGAGTTAACCTCCTCGCAGCAATTATCAACGCAGTTAACACCTACGAGGTTCTGAGAATGGGCAGCACACGGTGAATGATGAATTAGCGGGTTTTGTTTGTTCAAGTGCGCCTGGAGCCCGCTGGATTTGCCAGCCATGTTGCTAGCATTGTCGTAACTTTGGCCACAACGGTTTGACAAGTTTGACTGATGTTCCAAGTCATAGGCAGCAAAGCGTCTCTGTGCGGCACAAAAGCCTGGGTGGACAGTTTGTTTAAATAAAGCGGGAGATTACAGATACAGTATTTTGCTCGTGCCCTTGCTGCCCTGGGCTCTTAAAAGTTCGTGGACCCCTGGGCAATTGCCCAGTTGCCCGTATGGTTAATCCGACCTTGGGTAAAAACATGTTCTCATTAAGATCACAATCCATCATTTTGAAATAAAACAACAGAGGAGTAAAGGTTGGAGATCATACTTCATAAATGTTCTCTATATAGTGTGTTAGAAAGTCACATTTTAGGGGTGAAACTATGTTTATGTGTTTATGTATTTAGCAGACACTTTTGTCCAAAGCGACTTACAAGTGATAATCGGCATGTTGCCCTTGAGGCTAACAACAACAATAACAACAACAACTTGACATCAGTCATGGAGAGTAGGGAACAAGGAGTGGACAGTAGAGAGGGGACGGGTGCAGGGAGGGTGCTAGTTTAGAAGATGCTCTCTAAAGAGCAGGGTCTTCAGGAGTTTCTTGAAAATTGAAAAGGAAGCCGCTGTTCTGGTAGTGCTTGGAAGGTCATTCCACATTTGTGGAACGATGCATGAGAAGAGTCTGGATTGTCCTGAGCGTGGTGTAGGCACTGCTAGCCGACGATCCTGTGACGACCGGAGCGGCCGGGCCGAGACGTAAGCCTTTGCAAGAGGATTCAGGTAGATGGGAGCCGTACCGTCTCGGACTTTGTATGCTAGTGTTAGCAATTTGATGCGTGCTGCTGGCGGTAGCCAGTGGAGCTCAATGAACAGAGGGGTGACGTGTGCTCTTTTAGGCTGATTGAAGACCAGACGCGCCGCTGCGTTCTGGACCATTTGAAGAGGTCTCACAGTACAGCCTGGAAGACCAGTTAGAAGGGCGTTGCAGTAATCGAGGCGGGAGATGACAGTAGATTGCACCAGGAGCTGGGTGGCATGTTGTGTTAGGTATGGTCTGATCTTTCGTATGTTATACAGCGCAAAGCGGCATGAACGCTCACACCTCTCCGAGTCAGAGGACTCCAAAGCGCTTTATACTACAGGGAATAATTCATTCATTCACACACCGGAGGCGGTGTGGCCACAGCTGCCCTGGGGATCACTGAGAGATGAAAATGTTTGCTCAGGTGAGAAGTTCCTGTCGTGTGTGTAGAGGTTCTAGGTTAACTACAGTCATGATGATTACTGATCACAGTTCAGCGTTATTGCAGAAATGGATCAGCATCGTTCTGGAGCTGTCGGGATGTATTCTCTCACAAAGTGGCACAAATAAACCAGATTTCGAAGCTTAGCTTTGCTTTAGGCTCAAAAATCTGTGCTAGTGTTAGCAATTTGAATTTGATGCGTGCTGCTAGCGGTAGCCAGTGGAGCTCAATGAACAGAGGGGTGACGTGTGCTCTTTTAGGCTGATTGAAGACCAGACGCGCCGCTGCGTTCTGGACCATTTGAAGAGGTCTCACAGTACAGCCTGGAAGACCAGTTAGAAGGGCGTTGCAGTAATCGAGGTGGGAGAATGTTCTCTATAGTGGGTTAGAAAGTCACGTTTTACAGATAAAACTACGCTAAATGTGGTTTAAACTACACGCAGACCTGCCAGCTTCCTCAACACCACACATCCGAGTCTTCACTGGAACACTGATTTTGTAATTTGATGAAGTCGCCCAATACTTTAAATTAACATTACTTGAATATGTTACATGTTACTTATTAGAAATAAAAAAGCGGTTTCCGGCTTGCTTTCACCACATGCAGTCGAGCGATAAGGATTCTTTCTCGTAAACAGGAAAGCCTTGGGTCTTTGTCATAAATTCGTTGCTTGGATTCAGTTTCCTGATCAGCAAAAATATTCCTGAGTCAGCAGTTATGGTCAAAGAGACACAGAGGTAACAGGAACTTCTTTCTGTGTTTATTCATGAAGTGAAACTACCCAGATGTTTTCTTCATGTTGAGAAAAAAAGTTTCACATGAAAATACGTTTATTAACCACATGAAAATAACTTGATATAAAACCGCAAATATGATGGAAGATAATCTGCAACATCCTAGATTATTTTTTAAATCCATTTAGGTTTCTTTCTTGAGGTCAGTAGTTTTCATCTTCATGTCTTTTGGGAAAAGTGTGAACTTATAATTTAGAATCTAATCTTAAGGTTTTATGCTTAGGAAGTGTTTCCGATCCTAAACAACATAGGGATAACTCGATTTATAGAACAAACAAAAGCACGGAAGTAAGTTAAAGAGGGTTTAAAAGGAAAAACCAAATTAAAAACATTTTTACAAAGTCATGGGAATCTTTGTTTGAGTATTTGTGGAATTAGACATAAAATATGTATAAATTAACTTAAATATAAAAGAAAAAACAATAAATAAAGTCTGTGAAAAATGAGTAAAACCCCTTTAAATAGACAAGTTGATGGTGTTTCCTTATCCTAAGCTGGTTTACCTCATCTGATCTCAGCTTATCGTGCTTTTTCCATGGATGTGTGTGTGTGTGTGTGTGTGTGTGTGTGTGTGCCAGAGGATGTGTTGTAAAGGACTGTTTTTAAACTTCTGGAGATGGGAGGGAATGCGGGCCTTTTTAATTTGTTAAGCACTTTGAGTTGCATGATTAAGTGCTATATAAATAAAGTTTGATTGATTGATTGATTGATTGATTGATTTATTGATTAATTGAAGTGAGGATATGTGACCAAAGACACAATTGAAAAGTTTTATGATCCAAAAGAAAAAATAAACTCATTAAAATAAACAATAAATGACGGTAAAAGTTTATTTTCCACTCATACAAACCATGCCTTTCAGGTTAATCTTTATCTGACTTTTAGATTAAACTTATTCAAACACGATTTAAAGTCTCATCCTTTGGTAATTTTTTTTAATTAATCCCGACTTAATGACAAAGAAAGCTGATTATGTCGTAGGCTAACCATTCCAATCCCAAATTCTAATTTGTGTATAATTTCATGAGGTCCAAACAGTTTCCCAGTGCTGTATAGACACTGAATCCAAATAAATTCATAAGTTAGTTTTGTATTTAAAACATTTTGAACCCACATGAATTTGAACTTCCATGACAAAGTGAGACGTCAGCAGTTTTAACTTCCCTAATGGTCCGGAATCCCGTTTTGTTCATCTAGACTGAGTAATAAAAGAGGAAGAGTTTGGCTCCTCCCACAAAAAAATCCACCGTGTTTCACTCCAGCACTCAGGTGAAAGACGACATTTTATCTTTGATTGGATAAAGAGCACTTGATATAAAATTAGTTGAAACTTGTCTCTGATTAAAACAAAAAAAAAGATTATTTGAAGTATCTGTCCGGCGGTTGAGTTCGATACCATCTACACAAAAGGTACGTTTTCTTTAGGATATTGTTAAAATATAAGTTTAATTTATGGATTTTTCTTGATTTAAGTTTTCTTGCAATACACCCGGCAGGGTTCGGAGGGACGCAGTCAGCTGGTAGATGCCCGGGCCAGAACCAGACAGGGTGAAGCTGCTTTTGGCTAAAATTTACCCATTTGTTGATTTTAAAAAGTACTGTTTTATGGTTTATTTTTTGCTTTTCTTGAATTTGAACGCATATTGAATTCCCTCTATGCCTTCGACACAACGCTGCTTTTCCTTTGATGTTTCATTTATGTTGTAAGATGTCATCAGCTATAAATGACAACATTTCTGTCTCTGAGTATGTGAACATTTCAGAAGAAGGAATTATTAGGTTTTTTATACCATTGTAGTGAAACTGCTAAAGACTCAGCTGTAAAACCGGAGACTACAACTTTTCTTATTGATTCCAGTTCCAACAGCAAATTTAAAGATGTCCGTCGAGTATCACGCCTCCACCATGACAAACATGGACACTGACAACGGTAAAATTGCATACCAGCAATTTTTTTCAGATGAAACGAAACTTATTTCTTCAGGTAATGAAACAACCATCTTTCTTTCATAATATTTTTCTGAATTAACCAACATGGTAAATGTAGTTAACAGTGGTCTCACCGTGCAGTTAAAGGTGCAATTTGTAATAATTCTCTTGTGAAATGACGACAAAACAGAAACAAATGTTATTCTCAGCAGGTTGTCAGATTTTCCATTCTTCCATCCATCCATTGTCTGAACTCACTTTGTCCACGTGGGGGGGGGGGGGGGGGGGGGGGGGGGGGGGGCTGGTGCCTATCTCCAGCGGTCAATGGGCAATCAGGCGGGGCACACCCTGGACAGAGAGCCAGTCCATCGCAGGGCAACACAGAGTCACACACGATAGACAATCACACACACACACACACACGCACACGCATGCGCGCGCACGCACACACACACACACACACACACATACACAAGGACAATTTAGACAGACCAATTAACCTAACAGTCATGTTTTTGGACTGTGGGAGAAAGCCGGAGTACCCGGAGAGAACCCACGCATGCACAGGGAGAACATGCAAACTCCATGCAGAAAGATCCCGGGCTGGGAAGCGAACCCAGGACCTTCTTGCTGCAAGGCAACAGCTCTAACCACTGTGCCACTGCCCAGCCCTTGTCAGATTTTCTCCTTCCGAAAAAAATTTTTTAAAAAGCGAGACTGTTTGTAATTTGACACAGACAGGCAAAAAGCTACAAAGCCAGTAGTTATTTCACTCTAATATAGGGTGGAGCAGGCTAACGTTGAGCTAACGTTAAGCTAACAATGGCGACGGTGAATTAAAAACAAAGGCTCTAAAAATATCTCAAGCGACCTTTTCAATAACAAACAACCAACGGGATATTACAATGAAATGTATGTGTGAAGTAAATAATGATTTAATGCGCTTTACTTCCTTTAATCAGCCGTTCAGAACTAACGGCAAGCTAACAGCAAGACAGCAACCGCACTTCCTCTAATGCCCAAGACAAATGACCACAATAACCATAGTAAGTAGAAGTAAAAGAAACAATTTGTATATAGCGCCAAGCTATCTCAAGAAAAAAATCATTAGGAGCTTCACAAAAGCTAAAAATACAGAAAATATGTAAAGAAAATGGCAATATTCTTAATCAATATATATATATATATATATATATATATATATATATATATATATATGTATATAAATTATAAAAAAATATTGGCAACAGCCATGAAACTCGCGGAAAAGGAGTGAGAGAGTGATAAATTTGCTTAAAAATGGGCTGCAGTACCCACATTGGCCCACAGGATGTCATTCTTACAAATTGCACCTTGAATGTAAAACCAAGAAAAAAGCTAAATTACCTAAATTGTTGAACAATAAACCCAATGATATTGAGAAGAACAGTCCTAATTACTGTTTTGATTTGAATCTTCTTTAACGTCATTAAATATTCTGCCAAACTCAACGTCGTAAGAATTTTTAAAAACTCAGTGTAACTAAAATCGATGGATATTTTGCTGATTAGGTTGTCCACAGAACCGTATTGCAAAAGAAGAAGAAAACAACTAGCAGAAATTCTGCCACACAATTACTACTGCATTTGTGTGGCTCACTCTAAACATCTTATTTAGCCTAACAGAGCGAAAGAGACCGCAGTTGAATTCATTTGTCTTTTCTGTTTCTCTTTTTTTAACGGGCAAAATCAATATACTGTGCAAAACTATACAAAGGCTCAATATTATGATGTATCAAAGTTTAATTTCCATTAGACATCACACACAGCTGAAGTAAGTGTGATCACCACATTTGACCCATCCACTGGGGGGCGCGATGAGCCGCAGACACGGCCGCGCTCGGGAACCATTGGGTGGTGTTTCCCCCCAGTCGAACCCCCCAAATCAAGCATTAACATGTAATTTCACCAAACCCTCGTTTTCTTATCATTTATGCAACATTACTTAACATCTTCCTCGAGTCACTTAATCATTTCTAAGGTTGTTCTGTTTCCTGTCGTTCAGTTCACTCGTTGAGAAACAAGCCACTCAGAGTTGCTGCAGTGTGTCTCGGAGTGCTGTGTGTTCTCCTGCTGGCAGGGGTCATCGGTCAGGCTGTCCACTGTGAGTCTACCTTTTGTCTCTGCATTGTCTGATATCAAGTAAAACCTCAGATTCATGTTTTTGTCCTCCTGACAGATGACAATGTAGAAAAAGACCGTCAGAAGAACTTGAGTGCTCTGAGTACAGACAAAGAAAACCTGCAAACAAACTTGAAGACGACCCTGAAAGAGAAAAAAGATCTCGAAGCTCTCAGGAACCAGTTGCAGCAACGTTATGACCATCTATCCAGAGAAAAAGACCTGTTGCAGACTAATTACAATTCCCTGACAGAGGAAAAAAACAGACTTCAAGTTAGTGAACAGCAACTACAGGCCAGCCAGACTGCCACCAACAACGAGTTAGAACAGGTAAAAGCTGCCAACGCTCAGCTGCAGAAAGACAAAGACACCTTGGCTGCAGCACGAAACAACTTACAGACACAATATGATTCAGTGGTGAAAGGTAAAAGTGAGCTACAGAGCAGTTATGAGTCTGTGACCAATGACAGGAACAACATGCAGAACAAATTCAACAATGCAACCAGAGCCAGAGAGCAGCTGCAGCTGAGCTACAACAGTCTGATTCAGAAGGTAGAACATCTACAGGAAAGATACAACTTCTCCATCAGCGAGAAGGACAAGATAGCCAGCAGTAACAAAAACCTGACCATGGAGATGATAACTCTGCAGGAGACATACAACGTCATTAAGAAAGCCGAGAACGACTTACAGGCGTCCTACCAGTTAGCCCTCAATCAAAAACACGAGACTGAAAACCTCCTGAAAAACGTAACGGCAGAGAGAGATCAGCTGAAAACAAAGGCAGGCAACCTGAGTGCTGAGAGGGATCAGCTGCTGCAGACGATCAATCAGCTCAACGCAACGATCCAAGGTGAGAGAGCATGGAAAAGTATGCTCCAAAGTGTTTCATGTATGTGGAAAATCTGGTGTGCGGGCAGGATTCAGCTCAATTCAATGTTGAAGAAGATTCAGTTGTAAATCGGTGATTAACAGTGTTCCTCAGGGCAGCTGTGGCTGCATCGTAGCTCATCACCATCAGCGTGTGAATCTGTGTGTTAATGGACGAATGGTACACTGTAGTGTAAAGCACTTTGGAGTCCTCTGACTCTGAAGGGCGCCATACAAGCGCTGGTCATTTATCATCTGTCATGTGCTTCAATCATAGAGAAAAAATGCTCTGTGGGCTGGAGGAAGTTTCAGTACAGCTGCTACTTCACTTCAATGACCAAGAAAAGCTGGAGCCAAGCCAGAAGTGACTGTCAATCCGGAGGAGGAGATCTGGCCATCATCACCAGTCCGGAGGAAATGGTGCGCTTGTCTGAAACAGACTCGACTTGTGTCAGAAGACGAAAGTTGTCTTTTCTCTTGTGTAAATGAAGAAAACTAGGTCAAAATAATTTATGGGTAACAGAAAACCAGAGAAAGAAGGTCAACAGTTCAGTAGTGTACCAGTGAAGGCAGCTTTGGACCCACGGATTCAACCACGGCACAGAATGGAACAAACAAGGCTTCATTTAGCGAGCAGGAATGCAGAAATACCCGAGGAAGAATTGACCTGGCTTGACCTGGAATGACTTTTGCTGACTTGGACGTGTTTTTTTCTTCCTCCCAGGAATTCATCAATGGCTTGTACAGCAGTGAAATAGAAGCATGGATCGGGCTGACTGATGGAGGAGTGGAGGGGCAGTGGAAATGGGTGGATGGAACGCCACTGAACCAGACGTAAGAGACGGAAAACTTAAGTTTGTTGTTGGCTTGCTTCATCTAAAACCAAGCGAGATTTCTTCAGATATCCCTTCTGGCTCTTTTAGGTTCTGGGCTAAAGGCCAACCCAACAGCCATCAAGGAACAGACCAGGACTGTGTTGAGTTCTGGCATCGTTCAAAAGGACACGGCGACTGGAACGATGAAAGGTGTAGCATTGAACAATACTGGATATGTGAGAAGTAGCTACTCCCCTTAGAGGCCAACAGAGCTCCGGGAGTTCTTCTCCCGGCATGCAACAGTTCAAATCGAGTGGCGCCATCTTGGCAGGAAATTAGGAAATTGTTAGTTGCACAAAAGCCAAGCTAGAATCAGGAAATGTGGTAGATACCCGTTGTACCCCAGGATGCCGTACCAGACGAGATCAGGCAAGAGCCTTCTGTGGGATAACCCAAGATCGGAACGTTAGATCATCGCAAATTCAGTTTGACACTGAAAACAACAAAAGCCTGAAATGTTAAATTTAGCTGAGAAAATAAAAATTGAGCCTAATGTTTAAAGATAATATTTGAATGGAAGCAGTTCTGTTTTTGGTCCAATTTAGAGGATATCCATGCTGAATCAAATATAATCATACCGGTGTCTTAATAAATGATCTTATGTAAATATTATGTTTCTTTATATAATTTTCCTTTTTATGCTTTTTAAATATTTTTGTTTTATAGCCACCTTGATGCCTTTGCAATGCCTGTTTGTTTCTATGATATAATAAATTCGACCCATCTTTAGGCTATTTTATCTTCCCAATAAAGAATATTTACAATAAAAAGGACATCGCTCTCTGTTTTGCTCTTGTAACGTAGTAATTACTGTATGTATTTGGGTGCTTTTAAAGCTTAATATACTACCCTACACTTTGACCAATGTGATGTGAATTTCCATATAAATATGGGAATCCAGTCTAATTAGTCTTTGAATGTTTAACCAGAAAATTTAGAATTCTTTGTTTATTCAGGGACACTTCGTATTTATTCAATAAGAGAGTCAAGTTGATAAAAAGTCAGAATTTATTTTCCAAACAATTAAAAACATGACAAGTTAACTAAGACTACTGTGATGGATGGATCTAGGTGGATGGGATGTGATGTTTGGTGACTATGTGTGAATGCGAGGTTATCCAAGAGCAAATAATGAGCCACTAGATCAGGGGTCCCTAACCTGGGGGTCCCCACCCCCACAAGGGGGCGCCAAAGCCTCTCAGTGGGTCGCCTGGACCTCTCCACTTAAAGGGGTTAAAACTTCATTTATTTATTTGTTTATTTAATATTTACTAAATTAATTATAGCTTAAATAACATTTCTAAGCATTTAATTAATGTTTGTGTAACATAACTAAATCTTTACAGTTTAGAACTATTTATAGGGTCTGTGACCGATGCAGCCGCCCTCGTTACTTGTTACTACGGTAAACAGCGCGCTCGTTCTTACGGCTTAAATTAATCTATTATTCATTTGACCGGTTATATAACACAACTCTAGTAAATCGGTGCCGTGTTGTGGGGTGACACACGTGATCGCCATCCTTAGTACACCTGTGCTTCCCCAACTCTTTGACATTATTAGCCTACCGTAACACAAAGTTTCACTGGTGTTTAATTTGTTTTTAATGTTATTTATCTTCAAAAGAGATTTATTCATGATTTGACACCAGAGGGAATACATCTCACACCTTCCCCTCATAAGAATGAACATATGTGCTCAGATTTTACCCACTCACACAGTTTATTACAGCCAAACAAGCCTTTCCGCAGACCTGTACGCACACAACAACCGTTCCCAGTGCTTCCCACTTACTCCAGGGCACTTATCCCTGGTTCCAGCAGCTACAGTCTGCATGATGGAATATGTTATTTTCATGTTAGGAAAGGTGGTTTGATGGTAAAAAGTGTTGAAAAGTTGTTTGTTTAATTATTTTAACAACACTTCCAGCCCAGAGCAACACAACAATTTGTAGCATTAAGAGTGTGACAACCGGATCAGTCCGTCTGTCACTTAGCCGTCTGAATCTCTCTGAAAATTAGTCTTGGCAGAGTTTGGGATCCTCTTCAGAACCGCCTCCACAGTGGACGGAAACATGTTTTTAGTTCTCTGCTCTGAAAATATTCATCTGATTATTGGTTTACTTCCTCTCTCATGTCAGAAATGACGTTCCTCAGCAGAGAGCCGGTGCCTGGTGCTGAGAGGATGGGGACACCCTGGACACGTCTCCAGTCCACCACAAGGACGCACAGAGACAACTTGTCAACCTCTCCTTTACACCTAGAGACAGTTAGTCTCCATCTAACCTGACATGCATGTTTTTGGTCTGGGGGGGGGGGGGGGGGGGGGACTGGTGAACACGCTAACTCGCGTAGAAATGCTGGATCCTGGATTTGAACCTGCAACCTTTTTGCTGCAAGGCCACAGGGCCAGATTAAACTCATAAAACTGTTTCATGTGTGTGCTTGTTTGTTTACCTAGAACCTCTAAACCCCACCCACTCATACAGGTAGGCGGTAAGTCATTGTGTGGGAGCAGCTCGATGTGCAGTCGAGAAGATAGAACAGACTCTGTAAGTCACTTTCTAGCAAAGTGAATCATCGTCTACATCTTAAACGGCAGAAAGGTATATAGAATGTTCCAGGAAGAACATGAAATATCCTCATGAGCAGCATGGGCAACAAATACGGGTCAAAGCATAAAATGGGGATGAAAATAGAAAACGAAAACAAATAAAAAACATTGTTTTGATTTTATCTATATCTTGTTGATCACCTGATTTGACAAAAAAATGCATTTTTTTATTAATCAGATTTGTTTGATGAAGACAAGTCTCAGTTTATGCTTTCCTGATGATGAAAATGCTTCTCTTGGGTTGGATTCAGTCTCCTATGAGTGGATCATCATCTGAGATATCGTCTGAGGATATCCCACAAAAACAGTGAGCTGATTATTCCGTTTTTATTCATGTTTAGTCCCTAAATCTTCCTGGAACACACGCTGAACTGAACAGAAGAAAAAAATGGTTAAAAAACAAACAAAACAAGTAATGATCTTATTTTTTCATATCAAAGAAACCAGAATGTGACAATATTCTCTCTAAAAGTCAGAATGTATCAGAAAATAAGCAAAACTGTCAACATCTGATGATTTCAAAGGTGCAGTATGTAAGAATGTAGTGAGACTTTCACAGTGAGAAAATCCCAAAAGAGAATGATGTTTCAGTCAATCAATCAAAGCTTTATTTATAAAACGCCTTCTGCGACCCTCTCGGGAAGCCCAAGGCGCTGAACGCGGCATATGAGAAAAACAGGTGAAAACATTAAAGTAGAAGACAAATGGGTAAAACAAGGGATAAAGAGACCAATGAAAGCAGGGAATTAAAATCAACATAAATGAGGGCCGAACTCAAACACATTCAGGGAACGCCAAGCGGAGGAGGTGGGTTTTTAGGCGACTCTTAAAGACTGGCAGAGATGGGGACAGCCTGATTGAGGGTGGCAACTCGTTCCAGAGTGACGGGGCTAGGACTGAGAAAGCCCGGTCCCCACGAGTACGACACCTAGAACGAGGGACAGCGAGCAGGCCTTGGTCCGAGAAGCGCAGAGAGCGTGATGGGGAATGTCTGTTCAGGAGTGTGGCTACATGGGGGAGCACCACCCTGGAAGAAATTGTAAACAAAGACGAGGAGTTTAAAGTGTGAATGATAACAGACCGGAAGCCAGTTCAGGGAGGCCAGAACCGGACTGATGTGGTCCATCCGCATTTCAAACAGGCACAGTTCAAAGGAAGAAAATGACATAATGGGTGTAAGCTGTTTACAAGGAAAGTTGGATTTAAAAGCGACAACCAGCCCACCACGTCTGCCCCGTGATCTAGGGATATAAAAACAGGAGCAGCCAGGTGGTACCAGCTCCAGCAGGGCGCTTGAGTCCCCAAACGGGATCCAGGACTCACAGATGCACAGAAAACTCAAGCCATGTTGAATAAAACAATCCCGAAGAATAAAAGTTTTGTTCTATGTTTATGTTTATGTATTTAGCAGATGCTTTTGTCCAAAGCGACTTACAAGCGATAATCAGCATGTTGCCCTTGAGGCTAACAACAACAATAACAACAACTTGACATCAATCATGGAGAGGAGGGAACAAAGGAGTGAACGGTGGGGGTGGGGGTGCAGGGATGGTGCTAGTTTAGAAGATGATCTCTGAAGAGCAGGGTCTTCAGGAGTTTCTTGAAAATTGAAAAGGAAGCCGCAGTTCTGGTAGTGCTTGGAAGGTCATTCCACATTTGTGGAACGATGCATGAGAAGAGTCTGGATTGTCCTGAGCGTGGTGTAGGCACTGCTAGCCGACGATCCTGTGATGACCGGAGCGGCCGAGCCGAGACGTAAGCCTTTGCAAGAGGACTCAGGTAGATGGGAGCCGTACCGTCTCGGACTTTGTATGCTAGTGTTAGCAGTTTGAATTTGATGCGTGCTGCTAGCGTAAGCCAGTGGAGCTCAATGAACAGAGGGGTGACGTGTGCTCTTTTTGGCTGATTGAAGACCAGACGCGCCGCTGCGTTCTGGATCATTTGAAGAGGTCTCACAGTACAGCCTGGAAGACCAGTTGGAAGGGCATTGCAGTAATCGAGGCGGGAGATGACAGTAGATTGCACCAGGAGCTGGGTGGCATGTTGTGTTAGGTATGGTCTGATCTTTCGTATGTTAAACAGCGCAAAGCGGCATGAACGAGCAACAGAGGCAACATGATCTTTAAAGGTCAGGTGTTCATCAATCACAACACCCAGATTTCAAACTGCCTTTGAAGGAGCCAGAGATAGGAAGTCATTTTGGATTGAGATATTGTGCTGTATGGATGGTTTTGCTGGGATGACAAGTAATTCAGTTTTAGAGAGGTTGAGTTGGAGATGGTGGGATTTCATCCGTTTTGATATGTCAGAGAGACAGTTTGATATTCGTGCAGAGACAGTGTGGTCGTCCGGTGGAAATGACAGATAGAGCTGGGTGTCGTCTGCATAGCAGTGGTAGGAGAAGCCATGTGATCGAATGATCTCACCCAGTGAGGTGGTGTATATGGCAAAGAGAAGAGGTCCTAGTACAGAGCCCTGGGGGACTCCTGTGACAAGATGGTGCACGGTAGAGGATTGTCCAAGCCAAGATACACTGAATGATCGTCCTGTGAGGTACGATTGAAACCAGGCGTGTGCTTTCTCTGTGATGCCCATGCTAGAGAGTATGGACAAAAGGAAGCCATGGTTGACGGTGTCAAATGCAGCCGATAAGTCGAGCAGGATAAGCACTGAGGATTTGGCAGTCGCTCTAGCTTCTTTTAAGGATTCCGTCATTGCTTACAGAGCAGTTTCAGTTTCTGCACAGACCTGGCGTTGACCAGACCAAACCAGGTCTGCGGCGGTGCCGCAGCACCTGGATCGCGCACGAGCACCATCTCCTCCAGCTCAGAGCCTGTAACCAAGAGCAGATTCTCCCAGCAAACCCCACTCTGGCGAGGTCCTCGAGCCGAACGGCCGTGGCACGGTGCCAGCTCACCCTCAGAGCCGGCCAAGTTCACAAGGCAGGGCGCAGAGTAATCTATCAGACGTCTTGGAGCCACCGGGTCACAAGATGGGCCGAATCGGACCAGCCGCTTCTTCGGGGATCCAGGAAGTCCAGCCCGACGTCTCACGCGCCGGGTACCTCGCTTTCCCGGTCTTCTACGATGCTTTCTTCTTGAGCTGGGGTGGACAGAAGGCCGACACATCACGGCTGGGGGGGAGAGAGCACACGGGCAGTCCAAACAACAACGCCATCCGTGAGGGTCCCAGCGCTCGCTACATCAACAGGAGGACGAAGCCTCAGCAGCGCAGCTCGATCATAAGTCACCAGAGAAGCCACACCGCTCAGAAAAAGCATCACAAACAACAAAAGTGCATAAAAGCCAGTAAAACGCAAGGTTCCATTGCGTGAAGAGGACGAGCAGCTCTCTGCGAGCACCCACGCAAGCGCCATCTGAATTCCCAGTCATTTTGTAAGGAAGGTTGTACTGAAACATGTTTCATATCCATTTTTCTCCTTTCAAAATAAAGGAAGGAGGGACGTAACTGTTCACCATCAGTGAGCGTGAGGGTGCCGTGACGGCAGCTGGCAAAAAGCTCCAGAGTTGAAGTAACCAAATTTTACTGCATTTTGTCATTTTTACTTAATTTCTACATAATACACCTTTATTTTGAGCTGAGCTGTGTTAGTTTTCACTGTTTTCATAGAAAACTCACATATTTCACCTTTGGGCCCAGCAGAGGATGCACTTCTTGAGGCAGCTGAAGAAATTCTACCTGCCAGTACGGTCGATGAGGCAGTTCTACACCGCAGTCATCGAGTCCATCCTCACCTCTTCAATCACCGTGTGGTATGCTGGAGCCACCATCAGGGACAAGAGTAGACTGCAGCATGTTGTGCGCTCTGCAGAAAAGATCCCCTCCACACAGGACCTGTACAGCTCCGGGACAATGAGGCTTGCAGGGTGGATAACAGCAGACGTGGTCACTCTGGACATTCTCTTTGACCCTCTCCCATCTGGCAGAAGGCTCCAATCCATTTGGACCAGAACCTCTCGCTGCAAAAACAGTTTCTTCCCCTCTGCTGTTGGACTCATTAATGTCAGTCGTAGACCCGCCCACTCCAGCTGCTTTGTCTCAGTCACCTGACCCTGTGTTGACCCTGACCTGAACTGACCCGCTCTGATTATACCTACACTGACTTGTACATATGAACTGCTTCTCTAATTATTGCCTCCCTATATTATCATCATTTCATTGGATTTATTTCCTAATTCTAATCTTTGCTTATCATTTAATTTTCTTGCACTAAGTACCGCAGCAGTTTCCTAATCCTGTGATTCTCACACATGTGGCAATAAACCTTCTGATTCAAAGCCTCTGATCCATGAGAAGAATCACTCGGTCTGATTACTAAAGTTCAATACTTTTTACATTTTTATTTAGTTCTTTCATGAAATTTATTTTTACAATCGTTAAACTTTTCCTTCCTGCTTCAGGCGAAAGAAACATCAAGAGTTTAAGCATCAATTCTGCTGTTAAATTTCACTGAACTAAACTTTTCAGCCTGAGATCCCACGACTCAGGGTGGATAAATGGTTTCAACAGGAGGAAGTTTTTGTTTCAGGGAAACCACAAAAAAACGTGAATTTACATTGGGTTCCACGTCTGCCAAGTGTGTGAAAATAAGTTATAATGAAGGAAATCTGTGTTCTTCCTGTCTTTTATTGGCCTGTAGCGTCCCCTGCTGGTCAAGTCTTGTTATTAAAAATTAACTCCAACATCATCTTTTTTATTTTTATTGATTTATTTATTTTTACTCCAACTTCATCGTGATCTGGGTTTCTTCTCAGGGTCTTAATGGACCACGGAGCTTTAGAGGAAATGGATTTTAGTCATCAGAGATTATAATCCGTAGACTTGCAACAACCAGCCTTCATACTGGCTGAAGAATTTCTTCAGAGTGATAATCTGAGTAAATGGATCTAATCTCACTTTCTGTTCATCACAGAAACAATGACACAGATTAAAATGAGAAAACTACTAGAAACACCAACCTCAACCCCACAAACACTGACATTCTGTTATTTGACTGAACATTGACCTTTGACCTTGGGTTGAGCATCTAAATGGCCTGTATTTGATATAATAATAATAATAATGCAATGAACTTATATAGCGCTTTTCTAGACACCCAAAGACGCTTTCACACACTCTCACATTCACACACTGCTAGTGATGGTAAGCTACTTGTAGCCACAGCCGCCCTGGAGAGGTCTGACAGAGGCGAGGCTGCCATTTGGCACCGTCGGCCCCTCTGACCACCACTAACACAGGCAAGTTGGGTGAAGTGTCTTGCCCAAGGACACAACAGCAGGATACCCCTGGCGGGAGCTGGAATTGAGCCCATGACCCTCTGATCATGAGGCAACCCGCCCTACCACCTGAGCTACTGCTGCCCATGATATAGCACCTTCTAGAGTCCTGGAACCCCTCAAGGCACTTTACAACACAATCAGTGATTCACACACACATTCACACACTGGTGGGGATGAGCTACAGTGTAGCCACAGCTGCCCTGGGGCGCACTGACAGAGGCGAGGCTGCCGAGCACTGGCGCCACCGGTCCCTCCGACCACCACCAGAAGGCAATGTGGGTTAAATGTCTTGCCCAAGGACACAATGACAGCGACAGACTGAGCGGGGCTCGAACCTGCAACCTTCCGATTACGGGGCGAGCGCTTCAGTCCTGTGCCACTGTCGCCCCATCTGCTTAACACACGTCTGTATGCTCCAGACCAGCAAACTGACAAATATTCTGTTCACAAAACGTGACTTTGTTGTTTGTTTCTATAAATGTGTGTGTGTGTGTGTGCGTGTGTGTGTGTGTGTGTGTGTGTGTGTGTGTGTGTGTGTGTGTGTGTGTGTGTGTGTGTGTGTGTGTGTGTGTGTGTGTGTTATCTGACACAGAAGGTGCTTCCTCCAAACATCATGTATGAATAATTGTGCATCACAAATTTAGACAAGATCAGAGTGAGCGTGTGACTCGGCCAGATGCTGAAAGATTAGGATTAGTTTTCCAACTAATGAACTCAGATTTCCATCTTGATAGACGGAGAAATGTAAATCTGTTTAACACAAATTCAAACATTTGGTAAATAAAACCAGAGAACTGAGACGATGGGCGATGAAGCTGGTTTGAGATTTTGCATAAAGGCCAGACGTCCCAGTTTAAACACACTGTTTAAACAGCAGGTTACAATAAATAAATAAATACATGAAAACAAGCTAAATAATAAGCAATAAATCCAGACACATAAAAGCCTTCTCTGAGCCTTTTTATAGAATCCTCTGATGCTGAACATGAAAGCTGGAAGAGTGAAATGTTTGATTCAGACAAACCAACAAGCATTTGGACTCGATGACGGCCTTGTTTCTCTGCTCAGACGGCTTTCTTCAGCAGATTATCATCGTCAGTTTGCCGTCCCGCTCCTGCTGCCCAACATGAAACAGAAGAAACAACGATGCTGTGATCTACGTGTGAAATCATCAGAATCTTCACACGCTTCCAGCAAGCTTTCAGGAAGTTGAGCTGTGAGGAAAAAACTTCTCTTCCAAGCTTCAGGCGCTAAACAAACTGTTCAGTGACACCGAGCAGCACCAGGACATATTTCATCCCTCAGACTTGTGTGGTCGACTTTCAGGAGGAACTTCAGATTTTCTTGTTGAAATCAGCTGATGCCTGTTTTGCAGGATCGTAACAAATGTGGACGTCCTGATTTCTGCAGCTGGAGCCGAAGCTGCTGCTGGATGTTTTCTCTCTGGTGTCACGGTAAAAATCCTCCATTGTTTAACCCTCCCACTGTCCTAATGGATGTGACCCCACGAGGAAAGCTGACCACTGGGCAGGATTGATGGTTCATCCCTTGAGGTCCACGTGGCAGGGATGAGGAGTGAGGCAGTGCCCAGTGGTGAACTTTCCTTGCGGGGTCACCCATAAAGACAGTGGGAGGGTTAAAGAGGCAGTAGAGACCCACATGGCAACACAAAAGGATGCAAAAGGTGAGTTCTGCGTAATATGTCCTCTTTAAATACAGCTATAAAGAAATAAAGGTGTATCTAAAACGGTGCTTTGTGCACGCCAGGCAGAAAAATTAGCACAAGAAGCGTGAGATCAAGAGTTCAGCGGGATGTGATGATTCAGGATTTGATTGAGCTTCATCCGAGCACCTGCAGCTGTTGTTACCATGTCAGTTTTATCCATCAGGTTTAAAATTCACGGCTCCATTTGATGAAAACAAATCACAGGTGAAGATGATGCAAAAAATAATTTATTGAATGAACGCACGTGAATTTGTACAATAAAGGATTATACACACACACATGTATGAAGAGCTCACTGTTCGCTTGTATTTCAATAATGTCCCATTTACAGAAAACGGGTGAATTCCAGTTTAGAATATTTACTCATATATCATCATTACATTTCCATTTTTATTGTCCTTTAACATCTTCAGGTTAGATTTTAATCAAAGCTGAAAAAATACAGAATTTGTCATTTAAATTTCAAAATAAAATACAAAAAATATCTACACAATAAATACAGAATGGACCCATTTTTTAATAAGGATTTCAGTTTTAAATATATTTAAAATACATTTGAGGTGATCTAACAGGAAAATAGAGCAGAAGTCATTGACTCACCATTTCTCAGCACACACACAAGACGTTTTTACACCAGTGAGAAAATAAAAGGGTTCTGATGCCTGAGAGGCGATAAAATGTCGAGTCAGTGAAAAAAAAAATCACAAGCATCGGGGACGTCCTGGACCTTTAGACCTTTAGCCGTCAGTCTGCTCTGCGTCAGCTCTGGTGGCTCAGCGAGACATCATTCTCACAAACTCTGAAAAACAAAATAAAACTATTAACATTTCACTTTCCCCAAGAAACTCTGAGAAGCATCCAGCTGAAATAAAGCACAGCAGCGAGCTCCATGATGAGGATTAGATGCAGAAATATTAGATCTCGATTTCCCTTCAAAATCCTGTAAGACCTTCTAGAAATGAGATTCACGGTTTTTCCTGCCAAGGGACAATCTGACCCTTCCTCACTCTCTTCTATTTGCTTTCTTACTCCTCATGTATCTCTTTATGTCACGGTCAGGATGGAGGAGGTGGAAACCAAAATGCAGAACCCATACAACTCAAGGCAGGAGAAGTCTTCAGAAGAAAAATCTTATTTTAAAGGAGGATGTGCCAAAAATCCAAAAGGCGCTAAAATCAAACCAAACTAAACCTTACCAAAAAAACAAACAGAAAACTCATACGTGAGCACGGAACAGGTAGACACGAGGAGGACAGAAACACACTGACGAATTGCGCTCCTCTGGGTGGCTGCATGTTGGAGTAGCTCTGTTGACTATATGTAAGTTTTGCCTTTTCTTGGGCATTTTTTCTTATAGTTTCTCAAGAAAAACTGTATTTTTTTTGGACACTTTACGTTTCTGTTTCTGGTGCTGTGAAGCTTGGAGGATTTTTACTGCTATTTTGTACCTTTTTTCACTTTTTGAGCATTTGTTATGATGCGTAACCATGGCAACGAGCTAGTTTACGGGGAGCAGCTGATTAACATTGGAAAGGCTGAAATAATACCTCAACTGAAGCCACAAATCCCAAATGAGCTAAAATGCAAGAAGCGTGGATGCAGAGCGGGAGCAAAACGGAGACAGAAAAAGAGGAGATTCAAACCATCTCTTCCTTTGATCATAATGGGCAATGTGAGATCACTGGCCAACAAGATGGAGGAACTCCAAGCCCTTTCAAGGACTCAGCCAGAGTTTCGGCAATTTCAGAACCGCTGGAGGAGATAATGCAAAGAAGGATTCTCCAGAGAATCAAGAAAATGATGGACAACCCTGAGCATTCTCTTCACAAGACTGTCCGACAACGGAAGAGTGTCTTCAGTCAGAGGCTTCTTCATTTTGGCTGCAACACTGACCGCTACTGGAGATCCTTCCTGCCAACAGCCGTTGTAATATACAACAACTCTTTGATGACTTGATTATTATTATTATTATTATGAGCTACTACAGCAATCAGTTTCCCTCTGGGATTAATAAAGTATTTTTGAATTGAATTGAATTTGAATGCAATGAACCAACAAACACAGAGTGACAAGACAAGCCTTATAAACAAGAGGGAGGTGACAGGTGTGAGGAGTGTGAGCTGAGGAGAAACTGGTGGAATCAGTTAACTAAATGGGAAGGGAAAGAGCTTGACAGGAGAACAGATAAACATTAACCTATAAAACATGGATCTAACTAAACCTAAAAGACAGAGGGCAAAATAAACCACTAATAACCAGATGGGTGAGGAGAACTAATCTTAAGACAACTAGGAAAACCAGGGAGTGACTAGGATGGGGGTCAGCAACCCACGGCTCTTCCATCCATCTGATGCGGCTCTCTGTGCTTGTAAAATAATGAATGGATATTTAAATAAAAAGCTTTATATTTTACTGCATTAATTTTACATCTGTAAGCTAATTCTAAATGTAAAGATTGTCTGCGTAAACCTGAACAGGTCCACCCCGGTCTTACTGTGAGACCGGGTTGACGTGTCACGCTTGTGCGTAATCATAGGCGCTTCTGAGCTGAAGAGGATGTGAGATTCTGGGATTCTCCTCAGACGGCTCCTGGATGTGTCGCCACATTGGAGACAGAAACAAGCGCTATTCAGCCAAAGTTTCATAATCAGGGAACATTTTCTACGTGACAAGTCTCGCTTCAGTCGGAGGAATCTTCCTGCATGCGCTCTGGTTCTGCGACGCGCTCCAAGCCCCTCTCCACATCTTCAGCTCGCTGTGCACCTTATGTAGTACACGCTGACAGTGAGCTGCGCTGAGCAGTGTCCAGCTCAGATGTTCAGATGGGAATCTTTTCTTGAGTGATTTAGCTACATCTGCGATGTGCGAAACGAATAAAGTGTCAGTTCGTCTGCATGCGTCGGGGTAATTCTTTCTATTCTTTCTCCATCAAAATAAACGGTCAAATACGGGAACTGTCCGGTCAACACAAGCCCTGCTTTTAACTGTTCTGTTTTCTTGTGAAAATTGTTGCAAAGAGATATAATTTAACTTGATTAACACCAGAGCCAGGCGCACTGCGCCGTTATCTCCGTCGCTGTAAATGAGGGAAAAACAAAATGATCGGCTCCTTTTCTGACCTTCCCCACCTACAAAGTTTAATTACAACAATCAAACGTGACAGAGCCTGGATTTGTATTCTGAACAGTCTAAACATGTTTTAAAAAAACAACTTATGACAAAAGTGGCACCTGCTCAGTAAAACCACCAACAGGGTGAAAAATATCAAAATATTGTCGGCAGAGACGGGCTACAACTTCTGGATCCACTTTATATAAATGGTTTTATTGATTATCGTCTTATGAAAGATAACTTTGAGGTACATGAGCGAACGGTACTGGCTGCTGTCACCTGTTGTGATTGGTTAAAGCAGCTCTCTGCTGTCTGAGGGTAGGCCCCGCCCACAACGCCGCGGCTGCTGTGGCTCCCAGTGTTTTCTTTACTGTGGGAAACGGGTAATAATGGCTCTTTAATGGGAACAGGTTGCCAACCCCTGGACTAGGAGGACACAAGAGGAGAGCCTGGAGTGGGAACAGGAGGGGACTGGAACAAAAGGACACAGAACATGACACTTTATTCCTCATAATCCTCATTTTCATCCCAAGAAGTTTTCCTTGTTATGGTTGAGCCTTCGTGATGCTCTAAGGCTGAGCCCGGCCCATGTCCCGAAAACCAGTTTGCTTGTCCGGGGATCGGACCGCCAAGGCTCCCGCCTCGGTCTGCCACCCGATCCACACTGCACCGAACCCCTCATGTTCCTCCTGCGTGTGGTGGATCCACAGTTGGATGAGCCCATGTATCCGGTTCGGGCTGGGCCCGGCCGGGCCCCATGGGTGAAAGCCCGGCCACCAGGCACTCGCTCACGGGCCCCAACCCCAGGCCTGGCTCCAGGGTGGGATCCCGGTAACCCTCCGGGCCGTGTACTCTGACTCTTTGATTGTATATCCATGAAAGATCCTCTGATGGACCACATTAACTCTGATGATCTGTAATTCTTTTTCCAGGCTAGTTATTTGCCTGGATAGTTCCTTACCTTCAAAGTCCACCTGTCCATCCCCGTTGAGGTCGATGTCCCTCAGGATCTCGTCCATCTCGCGGTGGTTCAGCTGCTCCCCCATCAGCTTCTTCATGGCTTCCTTCAGCTCTCCAAGGCTAATCTGACCGTCTCCATCCGAGTCAAACTTGGAGGAAGAGGAGTTTGAGTATAAAATGAAACACAGAAAGCTGAGTTTAGTGGAACATCCCAAACCTCTCTGAAGGCGTCTCTCAGCTCTTTGACTCCAATCATGTCCGCGGTCTCTGCGAGCATTTTAGGACCCATCAGTTCCACGAAATCCTCAAAGTCGACTCTGCCGCCACCTAGAAAACAAACAGACAATATTTTAATACTTTATACTCATCTGTGTGGTACTGTGTTAAAAGTCTTTGTTTCTTACTAAAGTGACACAACTATAAAACGACAAGGAGAACATCTCCATAGCAACAAGTCTGTCTCTGATGCACCTGTTCGTTTCTCCGACTCTGTTTGAGTTTGAGGGACTCACAGATCTGCTGGCTGAGCTCAATCAGCTCCATCTCGGTGGGCATGTATCCCATCGTCCTCATGCACTCGCCCAGGTCCTTACAGCTGATGAAGCCATCCTTGTCCTTATCAAACTCCCTGAACGCCTCGCGCAGCTCTGGAGAGGAGAGAGGAAGGTGGAGAGGATTCATTTCTATATAAAAACCTAAAGGACTCGTTTTGGTGGAAATTCAAACATTTAACAAAGGATTTGCTCCGGCCTGTTATGGCCTATCAGCTGCTCATGACTCTAAATTGGATTCCGGATGAGTTTTTATTCATATGTTTTTGCAAAATAATTTTTTCTCACAGGTAGTTTTTGTAAATTTGACATTAGTTCAGCAGGAGGAACCCTTTAAGATCCACACCAAGGAAAAAGCGAATATATTTCTGATATCTTAAGTTGGAACAAAGAGCATTTTATTATCAATATCAATAATATCACAGCATCAACAAGACTTTTCCTCAAACATCTTCTATATTTTGACTTTATTTATTTATTCATTTATTTATTTATTTATTTATTTATTTATTTATTTATTTATTTATTTATTTATTTATTTATCAATCTATCTATCTGAGATTACTGCATGTTTAAAAAGGTGGGCTGCACGGTGGCGCAGGCGGAGAATAGGGCTGTTTTAAAGTGGCAACATTTCAAAAGTCATCGCTGTGTGTTAATCTCAGATTTTCTTCTTGAGCTTAAAAAAAATTATGCTTTAATTTAGGGCTGGACCATATCTCAGTATTTGTAAAATATCCGTATAATTTCAAACAAGAAACAAGATGACTCAGTAAGGTTTATTTTGATATCACTACACAAGTTGTTAGCACTGGCTGCTACCGCTAGCGGATAGCGGTAGCAGCTAGCTTGTTCCATCTAGGGCTGCATGGTGGCAGAGTTGTTAGCACTGTTGCCTCTCAGCAAGAAGGTTGCAGGTTCAAAACCTGGCTGCGGTCTTTCTGCGTGGAGTTGCATGCGTGGGTTTCCTCCGGGTACTCCCAGTTCCCCCACAGATCGCAACATCCCGCTACCTGTATCATCAGGATTTTTTGGTAAATTAAAGAAAATGATTACGAACTTCATCTGGCAAAATTGTTGACATCGGCTTTGGTTGTTGTTGCTTTATCTTCCATTTGACGGGGGTGGTGGTGGTGTGGGGGGGGGGTGGGGGGGTGGCGGTGGGGGGGGGGGTTAAAGCCCCTAACTTCCAGTGGTACTACTTGGCCGCAAAACTGCGCATGATGATGTACCACTTCTCCTCCAAGCAACCTCCAGCGTGGGTCAACATTGAGTCATTTCTACTCAATTCGGACTTGCCCTTGAGCGGGTATCTGTACTCAGCGCCAGTCAAAACTCTAAAAAAAACATCATTAATCCTATCATGCTGAACATGGTTAAAAAATGGCATAAAGTACACGAGGTCTTAAAAGAAGAGATGCCTCTATCCCGTTTTAGCCCAATCAAAGGTAGTGAACAGTTTAAGCCAAGGGTAATCGACGCAGGGTTTAACACACGGACCAGAAATGGACTGGCCAAAATTGAAGACCTCTTTTGTGATGGTGTAATGATGTCATTCGAACAGCTTAGAGTTAAATTTAACTTACCTAAAACACATTTTTACAGGTATTTGCAGATAAGGAGATTTTTTGCAGCCTCACAAAGTAACAATTTGACCCTACCTGATCTATCACTATTAGAAAAAGCTGTTACGGACTATCCTTACACCAAGAGGCAGATTTCTTATTTATATATAACCTGTTTATTTCTAACTCCACCGAGTCCTCTGCTGGACGGTTGAACGCTTGGAAGAAGGACATGACAACAGATATAACCCTGGAGGAGTGGAAGTTAGTGTGTCTAAAGGCACACACTGAAACTGTAAATACAAGATTGCAGCTGCTGCAAGTCAATTGGTCCATGCGAACCTACCTTACCCCGGTCAAACTACACTCGTCTGATGATAATATTCCAGATACATGTGTGAAATGCAGGGTTGAGAAGGGGGCTCTTTTCCACTGTCCATGGGAGTGTGAGGAGTTACAGAAGTTTTGGAAGGAAGTAATGATGATAAATAAAAATATGACAAAGATTAATTTAATGCTAGACCCTAAATTATTTGTATTGGGACTTTATCCGTCTTCTTCTACTATTCCAAAGAGGATAGGGTCTCTTATCAATATGTGTATACTGCAGGCCAAGCGCCCTATTGCAATGCATTGGAAAAAGATGGACAGACCAAAACTGGGGCACTGGCTGCGTAATATGTCCTCAACGCTGGCAATGGAAAAGATAACTTATATTTTGAAAGGGAAGAAGGGACAATTTGAGGAAATTTGGACATCTTTTATAACATATTTGGAGGTATCGGATCTGACACAAGTGTTGCAGGAGGTTGGAGAGCCGAGTGACACATAAAGGAGGAAAATAATTCTGTATTATTTCTCTTATTATTATTACAGCTGAGTTTTTTCTGTTGCCGTTTTTTTTCTCTATATTTTTATTTTCTCTCTTTGCTGTACTGGCGGGGTGTGCCCTTGTTTGGGGGACGGGGGCCTGAATACCGTCTCAAGTCTCTGTATACATCACTCATGTGATTTGTATTTAGGATGTTCTAAAATTCAATAAATATAATGCTAAAAAAATAGAAACTCAATCAGGAAGAGGAGGACAGAAGGCTTGAGATGTTTGGTGTTTTCCTACCTTCCATTTCCTCTGGTCGGAGATCTCTGTC